GAGGGGAAACGAGGTGGTGGACTGAACGCAATTTCAGCCGTCAGTTTGCGCGCGGAAAGATAACGGAGCGCCCACGGGAATTTATTCTCGGGAGCCGATCATCCGTGAGACAGACGGCGGCTTTTTGTCGTCATCTCGTTACGGTTAACGAATGACTTTCCTGCCCCCCCGCCCCGCTCCCGTCTGCTGTTTTCACGTTCGTCGTGCTCACGCGGTTCCCCCCGACGCGATAGTCACGTCGGAGATTTATGAATTTAATTAAATCGCTATCAGATTCAATTTAATCGTTCCGTTAGCGGCTAATATTAAAATAAAATACAGTCGTGTATCGATAGCATTTATTATGATTTATAGAAATCTCGCTTGTATCTCTCGCTGTCATTGCGAACACAGAGGGAGCACATGCCTGCAATATATCCAATTATGGCAAGACTAGTCACTCGCACCATCTTAGTTACTTCGCAATATTTATAAAATGCTCGCAATTTGGTTGGGAGTTAGTTAAAATCTAAAGAAAAACGAGAGAAATCATGACCTGCTGCACGCTATTTGAGAATTTCTATTTAATTATGATGTAATGTTACGTATTAACCGTAATTAAGAAACATTCTTTAGCATTTCTATCAGTAAATATAATACTTAGAATAAATTTTTGCTATAATGATGTGACCATCCAATACAAAATTTGACAAAACTCAGAATAATAATAATAATAATAATAAAAGAGAATAATAATAATAATAATAATAAAAGAGAATAACAAAGCGAATTTTTATTTGCAAGCACAGCTTGTGTAAATTAAATAATGTTATAATGTTAAAAGGCATTGATTTTATCTCTGAGTAAATTTAATAATCGGCACCGAATTCATTAAAGAAAATTTGTAATTAAAATGTGATTCAGTAGAAATGGGACATATTTTTACCCGTTTTATTACCGATTTATTACCTGTTATTAATTTTATTATTAAATTATGATTTTCTATAAACATGTTTTTGTGTGAAAATAGAAGGTATCAAATTAAGGCACGCTTCACGCGTGCCTTTCCCCTCTCCGGGGCTATTAAATCGACGCATCGAAACGCATAAGTGCAGGTGTGCATAATGTTTGTACTGGTTAATTTAGATTTGGATAGGCGTGTGCAATGAGCGCATGGTAAGATGCATTTCTCTCTATGTATGGGGCATGAGTTTCCGCGTGATATGAGGTACGGTTCAGCTGTAAGACTGGGGTGCTTTATATACGGCGAGCGTGTTACAAGAACATGCAGTTTAGGACTGAAGGAGCGTCGGTGACTTCCCAGTTGTTTAGAGTTTTAGACTACAAAAATCTCTCCCCATTTTCGTTCATTTCGTCGTGTTTCTCTCAGAATTCCTCAGTCTACGTAATATTTCTGTGTTCGAGTGCTGCTTGAAGATACTGATTTATATTCCGTGCTTCTTTTTGGATAAATGCGGTAAATATCGAGGAATGCAAGATAATTATAGTAAGATTTTCTATCTTTTTGCGACGAAATTGAAATTATGAGAAAAATAGCTGTGTTTAATTATTATATTGTATAGAAAAGCGACACTTTCCATTTAATTTTTGGATTCATAAGAAAAATTTTTAAGACTATAATAAAATAAATTTTTTTTTTATTATATATATATCCAATATTTTTTAAACTTTTTTTTGTTTTAGATAATTTTAAATAAAATTTGAAGCTATTTTTAATACTTAATTTATAGAATTTTCAACTTTTCTGATTCTTTAAGTTTTTTGCAAACCTTTATTTAGCTATGCTTAATGATATATATTTGTTTTAATAATATATATTTATACAGGATATATACATGATATACATATACAACATCCTGTATCATAAATTTAATAAATATATTTAAATTTAATATATTTATATTGAGTTGGAAAGAAAGTAACGTCGTTGTTACTTTTTTTTTTTTGTTTCTAATAAAACACACTAAAGTCCTCTATTGAGACATTACACTCCTCCAACCTATTATTTACAATAAAAATTTATAAAAATTGTTAAAGATACATTTAAAGTGTGCACGCTAATCATACAATTAAAAGTAAATTTAATAGTTCTTGATATTATTGGTTAATTAAAGCACACTAGTTTGGTCTAAGACCTATATAATAGAAAGTTAATTAACATATTTTGTAAAAGCATTATATTTTATTTTCTAGATTAGGAGAGGTTGACTTGTTACAATGTGATAAGAGAACCGGTTAGAAAAATAATAAGTTACAAATAAATTGAGAGGTGTGTTTCTCTCTCTCTCTCTCTCTCTCTCTCTCTTTCTCTTTCTCTCTCTCTCTCTCTATTTCTCTCTCGTAATACTTTCTATTTATCTACTTGACTTAAAGATTTTCTGATAAATTACAAATCAATATTTTCCTCAATAAAAAAATTTGATTAGCAATTATATTGTACTATATTTTCTTTTCGCTTTTGGTAAAGATTACCATTCAAAATCGATGCCACATTAAAACATACATATACGCGCGTATCTATGTAATTAATCTATATAAAAATGCAATTCTTTACGTGTTTTTGTAAAAACGTAATAAGTGCATATTTAATGCGCATATTTAACAGATTGGGTGTTACGTATGCACAGGTAATTAACGTTTCGTTTGGAAAGTAGTTTCACACATGTTTTAGTAGTTTTATAACGGAGAGATTGATTTAATTATTAAGTTAATTAGTGATATATATATATATA